GCGATGTGGTGCTTGATGTCCACAAGTCTAATCTGTGCAACGAATTTCTCGTGCTTTTGGCGGTCTAGTGCCTTGGTGAAGCTGTTAGCAACCATCGCGGCCGTAAGGGTCTATTGGATTTTAATCTTGTGCCGTTGTACTTACTGGCGCAGCCAGAGATAATAAATGTCAACATGCTTGAGCCGTTGCCAACGCATCGATTTGCTTCTGCCGCGTTGCTTTCCAGTTGATCGGGCTATTGCAATAGAAAAACGGGCAAAGCTGGACTCTATTGCGGATTTATTGTATCGAACAGGCAACAGGCTTTTGAATGGAGGTATTGGCAAGGCAATTAGGTATTAGGGGGCGATATATAGGCTTGAAGCAACACCACAGGTTTTGTTATGGGGCAACTGCACCGGCCCTTATAATTGGCTGGAAAAATAGCGCAAGCGCTAACGCCTGCGGCGTACAGGGGGTGAGGCAGCGCTAGCCGCCTATTGGCCCAGGAGTTCGCAGAAGTTCCCGGGGCCACAATTGTGTGGCGGCGGTAGCCGCTGATTGGCTCAGAAGTTTTCAGGACTTGGCAGAAGTTATTACGTAATATACAATTATAGAGTGTCGAGGAATTTCTCTCCGAGGGTCTGTAAGGTTCCTGAGATAAATCATGTCAACAGTTGGTCGAGGACAATAATCGATACGGTCGTCTACCTCCATGACGCCACCGCTAATTCAATCCTAGCTGTGCGTACGTAGTTTTGAAGGAGAGAAACGAGAATACCCTTTTCGGTGAATGAAGCGTCCTAACTCTCTTATACCACCAACGATGACATGGGTCGCTTTTGTGGTTGGGCTTCCTGGACAGCTTCTCCTAACCACCAATCAGGCCACGTGATCTGAGCATATTCAAGTCGCGTCTGGCTCTCTTACATGTCCTTTACATGACAACTTCGTTCAATCATGTTCTTTCATATGTGTCCGTAGGCCAGAATGTTGTGCTAAGATATTGGCTTTCGTTCACATACATTTACTCCAAAGGCGAGAAGCATAAGACATGAGATAAGAAGATAACGAATGAATTCACCATGCCGCCCGCCATTCAATCAGGTGCATAGAGGTATCAAAACGCGCATAGAAAATTTACTATTACCGCTACAGTTCCCGACCCCGCGACCCAGACAATAGACGAGATGGAATAGAAGTACCAAAAACCATCATCCACAACTCCAAACCTTCTCCCAAGGACTTATCCTAGCTACCAAGCTGGACAAAATCTCCCCGCTGTACACGCAGCCTTCGCCCCCTTCGACGTTCTCGTTGGCTTTGACGTGTAAGTCGTCGAGGAGACGGACGCGGTAACGGAGCATGAAGGCCTAGTGATAATTGTGGTGCAAGTATCGTAGCAGCTGTAGATAACGGTTAGTGATACACATTACTAAGACAGAGTTTGGGTTTGGTTACCCGCCATATCGCATGGTAGCTTCGCCGCAATACATGATAGCATCAACGCAAAGAGTCGACGGTGAGCATCTCGCCTCATCAATGCGGACAGGCATGATCTCGGGCGAAGTCGTGTTTAGGACCGCGGTAAAGTTGTTTGCGGTGGGCATGACCCCTGTGGGTGAAATCACGCTGGATGTGAGTGCGGCGGATGTCATGGCGAGTATGCTCTCGATGATGGTGGAGGTCTCTGAGCATGGCGGCTTCAGGAAAGTCTTCAGCGACCTAGTCGCCGCACCTTCGCAAGCCTCCCAGCAGCTTTGCAGACCGAATCAGCCAATGTCTCAGATAAACGAAAACCCAGTTATGAGTGGCGCACCCTCCATATCTTTGACCACACTCGTTTGTGGCGGTGTAACACAGGTTATGAGAACAGGGCGTGGGAGTAGGGCTTGCCGCAGCCAAGGTAATAAATGCGATCACTAATAGGCGTATAATATATGACATTGCTTCCCAGATGAGAGACACGAATCGGTAAGTTCTAACGAGGTGTATCGTAAAGAACAGGAAGTGTAAAGATCACACTTATACCAAGTGAAGGATCCGGTGTGCACGAAACATATTCAGGTAAAGGCTGACAATGATTGAATATATATCTATTGGCAGTGAGCGGCTGAGCAGAGACCCTCCCCCAATGAAGTCTCATCGAAAACTCACCGTCTGATTCTGAGTAAATTCTAGCCGCACCATGCCAGTATACGTGATATCAAACCAAACAATGATAGCGCTCGTTCTAAGCCACCATCCGACAACATTCAGATTAAGCGAGGCCGGTATTGGTGCACCTTCTACCAACATGGTCCGTGTGTTCGTGGAAAGAAGCGTCTGGAAACAAGTCCTGTTGTTTCAGTGGAAGAATGTCGTTGAAGTCTGTCTGTGAGTGGTAAGAATCTCGGGTGCGCCATGCAAGGACCGTTGGATTAGTACCACGTTACCACTGTTTCATTGACTTGAGGGAATATAAGACTTAGCAAGTAGCACATACCACCAGCTACCGGTATCCTGAGATCTGGATTTGCTACGGTATTACAAAAATACCTGAAGCTCATTCGTCATACAAGGGTATTTTACATCGAACTTGATGTGGTTCCAATATTTGGTGACCGACGGAGAGCTGAACCAGGGAGGAAATAATCAATAGCGGTATTGATCAAGGCATGCATACGAATGAGCCATCGAAATATTGACGAGTCTTATCAATGATTACAGTCTCGAATACAGCTCGAGAAGAAATTGTTCTAGTCTTGCGCAACCAGGAGAGTCTGTTCGTGCCTGATCGTGGGTTCTAGTATGGAAGGACCTCGAGATCGCGGTCTATGGTAGCACCGGGCCTCTCACTAGGCTTCGACAGCAGATTAACCAACGATCGGCAATGTTTGCAGCTAGAAAGGTTCCACCACTCGTCGAGCCGTTGCCCAGCAATGGTCTCAATTGATCCCAGACATGGGGAAATAGCTATAACATAACGTGCTTCGAGTCATATGCTAGATCGCCTTATCAATGTTAGGTATTGCTAGTCCTCAGTTTGGTACTACACTATCGCAGAGCTGCACGATCGAAAGCGGCACAGTAAAGGTCGCAATGGAGGTTCGCTACCCCTTTGGGAGCATACTCAGACAGCATTGGTATAAGAAAGGGCCCGGGAGGAGCGTTGTGTAGATCCGACTTGGATGTAATGGCGGGAGTGAACGATTTAGAGCCGTACATACGCCTTAACAGGCTTTGGGCATAAGACAACGGGGATTCAGCGATAGATTGAGCGTAGTGAGCTTTTATGAGTGCATATCTCATTGGGTCTCGTCTGGAACAGTCTCAGACGGCAAAGTCGAATAGTATCAGTGTGCGTTCGCAAGGTAACACCGAGTGCTGACGTTGGCTTGACGAGCCAAATAGAGAAATGCCAAGCTGGAAGGAGCACATTATGCGAGAAAGTGCTGGAAAGATAAAAAGACCCGTACTCTACGCTGTCTCTATGACCCGGCTTTTTCCGAATGATGAAGACGCAAAGCACTAACGGGAAACCGGTGGTTTGATAGTGCGAGATTGACAGCTTCTCAAATCGTGCAAGAATAGCATACGGCGTGCGGAGAGCTTTCTCTGAGACGTAACATAGAATTGATACCACACTGTCCCATTGCGAACGCTACTAAATACATCGTCTAGCGATATGGTAGTGATAGTGTTGATAGTCATGGGCACGCGGGAGACCATGTCTTTGGGCCCCGGATGTTGTTTGAGATTGAGAGCTTCTGAAATCGGATGAGGATCGATATAATTCGACAAGATTATCTCTCTACCAAGCCTCGCTCGTGTAATCTTTCTTAGGCCCCTGCACATGATAAGTTATACCAAAGCTTTGCAAGTTTGAGCCTGCAAACCTGAACTCGTAGCTCGATTCATACATGTCTTTCTCACAAAGATGGGATCCTTGGGCAAGCCATCCTTTGCCCATAGATTTAGCCTCTGCAGAGAGCATCTGGAACTCCATCTCGTTGAAGAAATAGTCCACGGTCCTGCTATCTTCTTTTACAAGCCAGGCACTGATCCTATCCGACTTCTCGTTGTACCGGTAGACATATCTTCGATTAGCTTGAAGAATGAGTCCGGTATCCCTTTTGAGCGTGTCTTCCTCGATGTAAAGGTATTCAGATGCAAAGTCCGGATCGGTCGACAACCTTGGATGAAAGTTGACCGTTCCTTTGAATGTTCCAGATGGGCATCCTGTAAAACGGCTATCGAGCTTACGACGGAGGATCCAAGCACCTTGCATCGCCCGAAAGACAGCTGCAGCGACAAATTTGCCCTTTGCAACGGAGTCATCCACCACGTGTCGAAGTCCACGGATGATAATGTCGCTCTCTTGTCGATCAGTTCCTGCAGGTGTATATCTTACCGCTGTGCAAGGTCCCTGTCGTTCACCCCAGCCGTCATCGTCTCGCTGGATCCCGAGTTCGCGCGCACAGGCTTCCATCAAGCCGACATAGTCGTTCATCCAGAATTGAGGAACATCGTCCAGATGTTGAGACATCGCATCTCTCAAATCTCGCATCTTCAAAAGCTCTTCCTGGGACTCTTTGGCAGTGGCCGAAGGGTCGACATGATCGGATTCCTCGCCGGTTTGGGACCACCTTGCATGGATGAGACGTGCCTGCATTTCCATGACACCCCAGAAAGGTCCTTCATAGAATCCAATGAACGCGATGTTGGGCTCATTATCGTTGAGGATGGAATAGCGTTGTAGCAGAAGAGGTAGCCGATGTGAGTGCAGAGACCGCTCCATTGCGACGTGTACTTCCGAAGGTAACCAGTCGATCGAGGTATGCGGAGTGAATCCAGTGGCGCACATGACCCCGTTTACGTTACTGATCATCGTTTCCTATGACTCTGTCAGTTCAAGGAGCATCACACGGCTACATGAAGCGGCTTGCCGATCTGCGCAAGAGCTACGCTTTGGAATGATGAGGGGCAGACATGGTAGGCGGAGTCGAATAATGCGAACCGGCTGGCCAGGAATATCCCAAGGCGGATCACTTATCGCTTTCACAAAGCTGCTCGGGGTGGCAGAATCGGTTTCAGTTCTCGAGCTTGTACCCATGTGGCTGACTCTGCCACGAACAGGAATGATGGCCTCCGGTCTTACAAACTCAGCGTAGTTATCTACGATGCCGGTATAGGAAGGATATTCCTATTGTTGTTGATTGTACACGAGCTCGGGATACCCAAGGTCTCTTTGGTCCCCGCCAAGCATGAACCGAATAAATTGGTGGGACTTCAAAGCTCTTTCCGGAGGCATACGACCATGCATGTGAGTAATTGGGCCCTCTAGTCGACGTGTAAGATTGTACATGCAGGCGTCGAGAGGCAGAAATGTGGGGGCGATATTATAGTCCTGCTTGTCGGGACTGTACGGATCCAGGGGAAGATACCTGGGCAAACAATAGAACGGACGAGAGAGGACATGGTAGACCTTTCGATTTCCCCGCTCAGTGTTTTCCATAGGCCCGTATTTGGCGTTCGATATCTGAAAAGCGGCCTTTGCTGCTGCCTCCGATCCGCTGATACCACCTCCTACGACCATGATGTTGCCCCCTTTTCCCAGTCCTTCTGACAAAAGGCCAGATAGTTCACGAACTCCGAGCTGTATAGGGTCTTCGGTGGGAAAGAATGTAAGTTGTCGGTGCCTTCAGAAGAGTCGATTTTCAAGGGTCGAGGCGAGGAGAAGAAGCCACTCCCAATGACCAGGAAGTCATGGAAGGAACAATGTGTCTCGGAGGATTTACTTGCACCTAGGGGCTGCAAATTATCGTTGCTTTCATATTCAATCTTCCATTTTTTGGCTCCTCCTTGTAATACCTTTTCTACCCTCGTCATCCTGCAATTTAGGTGGATCATTTCCTCGCGTATGTATCTACGCCTGTATGTTTCTAGATATCTACCGACCTGCCAGGCCTTGGGGAACATTCGTATATGCCGGGTTTCGCGATCAACCTCATCATCCAGGTCCATCGAGTACCAGGACAAATCAGAGAAGGCTACCGTGAACCTGCTGAGGTTTGTTGGCATCTCCGGGTCCACCTCCCCTCTAGCATCTCCCTTTTGTACAGCCCACATTCCTCCGACGCGGGCTTGCTGTTCCAAGATCTTTGTCTCAAAAATGGAAGGTTGTGTGTGAAGGAACGTCTTCACAGCTACCAGCACAACAGGACCAGCGTCGATGATGACTACCGACTTCATCTCGACCGAGGTTCGTCTAAGGAGCTTCGAGAAGAGGAGTCGACTGGACAGTGCTGGATTTGGGGTGCTTCGTTTAGTGGGTATGAACGAGCTGAGGTTGGTCGAGTTCCCGGGAGACCTGAGAGTTTTTAAACGCGAGGTCACATACGAATTAGCATATGAAATGGATTGACATATTATGATTTCCCTTATCCTGTTGCGGCTCCGACTGAGTGTAGGTAGTCCGTGATGTTTTCCGACGTTGGTGCTGATGGATGCTGAATGAGGCGAGCCATAAATGTCGCCAAGCCTTCCTCATGTGACTCGTGTGAAGCTTCAACTGATCAACAAAAGACAACTCGTTCTCGGGAAGCCCACGATACATCTTATATGTACTAGAATAGATTTCCTTAAAGGCGTGGCTGCTATATACATGTTCTACAGGGTAATGATCGAGACCGTTCCACGACTCAGGCTTTGGTCACACGTCTTGAGGCGTCAACAGTCCAAGCTCAAGAACAGCCATCCAGAGTAGGTCTTGAGCATCGAGATTTCCTGAGCCTGAAACATCAGGACTGCTGAGTATCCCGCTGTCAATCCTGCAGCGGTATCCATATGGTGTCCTCAGATTTGAAATCCGGACACCAAGCCACCTTGTGATACCTTGGGTTGGTGAAATTAATATCAGGCGGTGGCACTCAGATAAAATAGTCATGCATGTAGCAGAGGACCAGATTACGAGAGGATTCCAGAATTGATGAGAGAGCCGCGCATCGTATCAAACTGGGTCTTTCCAGCCTGGAAAAGTGACCCATTAGTTATACAGCTCGTAGGTAACGAAGAGCATTCCAAGTCTAGGTACTTACCGAGATTAAATAGCGAATATGTCCCTTGGCTCCCGTTAGTTTCTAAAAATATCAGAGAGAAGCTCGCGGTGGGCTTACGATATCTGTAACATTCTTGTGTCGTTCAAACTCCACTCTCGCAAATTGGCGCAGTTCCTTCTTCGTTGTCTCATCGGGGATCGCTACGAACAGTTAGTGTTACGAATACTGGATATTTTGATTAGAATGATGAGTTCCTACCCGTCGTTGCGCGAACAATGCCACGCCACAGAGCTAACGCACGCTGTCTTTGAATAAACTAGCTCGAAATCAGTGGCAGGGAGACACACACAGTAGGAGTGCTTACATGATCAAGGTCAACCGCGGGTCCTTTTAATCGTTTTGGCCGTTTGGTGGCCGCAGACGCATAAGTTCGAATCATCTCAATGGCAATCATGCAGCTCGTCTTATCAAGCCATTTTCAATATAGTCGGAGCATGGCTATGTTTAAAGGCGTTCGCAATGGAAGCTTGTGACGGGACGACCCCTGCCGAGTTGAAGAAGAACGGAAATAACGTCACGTGTAAACCTTGATTCCAGAACGCGCCCACCTGTTATCTCAGGAACCTCAGCCGCCCCTTGAGGAATTTGAGGCGTGCACAACTTTACCCCCTACACCGCCCTCACCCCCCTGCCACCTACCCCCCTGCACACCCTAAATTCCTCTGCGGAGCGTCTGAGGACATTTGGGCACGGGCTTGGTGTAAGCTGGTTTTTTTTCAACAGGTCAACTTTCTTCAGTGGACGAGAATAGGGTATTCTTAACCAGCCACGCTCTTGGTTGTCGATGCAATAGAATATTCAGGTACTCTTATACTTAATTTATATATTT